ATTAAATATTAATAAACAACAATCAACCAGTCTTGAATGGGTGTATCTCACCAAAAACAACACCATAATTAGATAATAACAGGTAAGTTAAAGTGTGATTATTTTATGGTTTTGTGATGTTTCTGACTACCATCTCGAATCGTAAATTATTTATTATAATTATGAAAAGTGCTAAATCATGCTGGAAAAATACTTATTCAATAGAATTGATGAAAACTATTTTTATAAATAATCTAAAAAAACAAACCTCAAAAACTCATTATTAAAAAGTAGAACAACAAAATATTAAATTCAATGACTAAACTTGAACCATTTTATTTATCATCTGTACTTTTGTACGTAAAAGGAATGACAACAGTCAGAAGATTAAAAGAGGTATCAAAAAACACTGCTATGGCATTTGAAATGCTTCATATTAACCCTCAAAATATAAGTAGTGGAATTAATTGGTTGTTTAAAACATTTCCAAATATCAATACAATACAAGGTCCCTGTGATTATGTGTTAAGAGAAATAAAAAAAGAATGCTTATATAAGATTTCATGGATAGACTCTTCATTAAGTATTACACACGCCAATAAAATAAAACCTGAAATAGAAGAAAAATTCGTAAAATAAGAATAAATGAATTTGATATTGACTCTGTATTGAATTGTTTTAACTTAGAAACAATAATCATAGAAAATGTTAATGAATTGAAAAACATTTAAAAGTTAGTTAATTTGAGGTATCTAAGAAGAATTATTATTTATCTAAATAATACTTCTACGTCATTAAAAACTATTAAAACGATTTGTCAAGGCTTTGATCAAGTAAGGATTTGTGTTGTGAAAAAAGCTCCAAAAGTAAATGTTCTATTAGAAGAACCTGGGTTAATGGTTATTGAAACTAAACAACATGTTAAAGAACGAGAATTTAAAAACAAAGAAAATAGAGTTGAAGAAGAAGTGTTTTCTCTTATTAACCAAAACGAAATAGACAAACTTATTAAATATTGTGATCGAAAATATCTTACAAAGAAGATAATTAAAATCAAAGAGGGAAATGGAGTGATTGATCTTAGGGAATTAAAAACTATGAGTTTAAGAATAGAATTAGAAAAGGGAAACCTTCAAATCTTCTTCTCAAAAAACCTCAAAGATATCGAATTATATAGTGGAAAAGGAATAATTAATGTTGATCTAGAAAATTCAGCCCTCTCAAATATTAAGATTGTTGGAAATGTTAGAAATAATGGAACATATCTATATACAATAAATAATCACACAAATAAAATTGATATTGAGAGTGATAAGTGTATACAATTGTTTTGTAAGAACTCTTCTAATCTTATGGAAATGAGAATAAGTGCTGACTTTGATGAAATTGTTTTTGAAAAAAAGTTAACTGCAACAGTATACATATCAAATAAAAATAAAAAAGGGAAAGTGGTATTAAGAAATATTCCTTCATTTTTTTATAATGTAACAATAGAAGGTAAAGGGAAAGGAATAGATGTTAGTGTTAGGGCACCTATTAGTAATTTAATCATTAAAGGAAGAGTACCAAGTATTGAAATTGAAGCAGAGCCTTGGATATCTGGTGGAACTTTGATAATAGACACTGACAAGAGTATTCAAACAATGATCAAACCCATTAACAATTATTCACTTTTTAAATACATAGGAAAACCTACATTAATTGGTAATTTCAATATTAATTTATTTGAATTTTACAGTGAATTTGTCATACCACTTCTGACAAATATGAATGGGTTATTGATTCTACATCAATAAAAAGTATTACACTATATATTGATATAATTCCAATAAGTTATGATTATAAGACTAGACAACTAAAATACTTTAATAAAGATGAATTTACGGTATATACACAGAAATTTTATTTCAGAGAACCTGAGTTTTATGAAAGAGCAAGAAAATATATTGAAAAGATTCAATTAAAATCAATGGCATTTTTAGGAAAAGTAAGTAATTTAGAAAATATTGATGTTCAATTAATTGTTAACAACCAAGAAATTTCTTTAAAAAGTTTATCAACTCAACACCAATACGTTAGAAAGAAAAAAACCAAGAAATTGAGAAATTTTCCTATAAGAAATGATAACATTTTTGATTATGAAGATGAATACTATGAAGAAGACTTCAGTGATGAGGGTTATTAATGAAAAAAAACTAATTTATGAATTAAAAAGAAATTTAATTCGTTTCAAAACAGTTTTAAATTATAAAAAATATGTCTTTAAAACCATCACAAAATTGATGTCTAACCTAAAAACAAAAAAGTAATTAATTTGCTTCTAATTTTTCGAATGGTGATGGATTAGGAATTAATGTCTCTAAAAATAATGTCATTCTATCAATAGCATTACTCATATTAGTTTCATCTTTATCATCCAAGCCATCATTTAAACAAATACACTGTGGTTTCTTTTTCTTAATTCCATTAATAATTTTGAGGTTGTTTGTTCTATTATTATCAACAAGACCATAATAGTACCACTTCTCTCTTACATAAACACCTTTATTACTCTCAACTGAGTATGCACCATGTAAAAATGGAATTGCTAAATCATTTCCAAGTCGGAATTTGTGAGTTCGTGTTTGTTTATATTGTTCTTGCCACTTCTCTTCCATTTCTTTTAATGTATCAGTTTTAAAGAAATAACAATGATGACTAACATATGGATGTTTGTAAGTTGAATCTTTTGGATGGAATTTATTATTAATTAATTCGTTTGATGTTCCAACACTTTTATGCCATAAATTATGTTTCATTCTTTCAACTTCAGGAGCATTCCATCCATTATGATAAATATTAATTTTTCCATCTTTTCTACAGAAGTGTTCTGGTTTTAGTTTTTTGCCTAATAACATATCATCATTTAAATAAAGAAAACATGATGATAAATTTTTAATGTTATGTATTGAAACTTCTAATGCATTTGAATTAAATACTGGTAAATCTTTATTATTGGGAAATATTTCTTTATGATCAACTATTCGTAATTTGTAATCTTTAAAAGTAAGTGATGAAGTGTTTAAGAAATCAGGAATTTGTCCCATTGTAACAATATAATAATTCTTAATATATGGTGCAAAATTATACACAGAACGTATAGAATATTGTAATGTATTATAGTCCCTGTACCTTCCTGCACCTCCTTTTCTTCCATTTTCTTCAAGAGCCTTACGGAAAACAGGATCACTTCCATTAACCCATAACCAAACAGCATCAATACCATTAGGACATGCTTTATTTTTAATCGGTGGAACATCAAAATATTTGACGCTAGCTTTAACTCTTCTATCAATGATACTAAACTTGTTTGTTCCTTGCATCATTATTCCAAAATTAGCTACTACTAATACAACTACAAAGCAAATAGAAAGACATGAAGTACAACACAGTGGACTTATCCCCATCTTATTTGTTTTCAGTTCTTTTCTTTTTCAGAACAAAAAAATTAATAACAAGATATAAAACAGGCATAAATACATTTTAACTTAAATCAAATGCATTCTTTTCAAATGGAGAAGGGTCTGAATAATATTGGTTTAAAAATTCATTCAATTTTTCAGTCTCTGAATTAAAAATAATATCATTTCCAGAAAATCCATCATTTAAACAAATACATTGAGGGTGACTCTTTTGAATATCTTTGTACACTTTCAAATTTTTTATCCGATCTGATGTGAATGAACCATAATAATAATTTCTTTCCGGTATGTATATTCCTTTTCCAGTTTCTGCAGTAAACGCTCCATGTAAAAATGGAATTGCTAAATCATTAGCTTCTCTAAATTTGTGAGTTCGTGTTTTGGCAAATTGATAAGGCCAAACAGATTCCATTTCTTTTAATGTATCAGTTTTAAAGAAATAACAATGATGACTAACATATGGATGTTTAACAATATCTCCGTTATGAAATTTGTCATTGATCAATCTGTTAGAAAATGAAACACTCCTATGCCAAATATTCTTTTTTGCTTGTTCTTCTTCTGGAGCACTCCATCCATTATAATAAATATTTAATAATCCATAATCATTGAAGAAATGTTTTATATCTAGTTTTTTGCCTAATAACATATCATCATTTAAATAAAGAAAACATGATGATAAATTTTTAATGTTATGTATTGAAACTTCTAATGCATTTGAATTAAATACTGGTAAATCTTTATTATTGGGAAATATTTCTTTATGATCAACTATTCGTAATTTGTAATCTTTAAAAGTAAGTGATGAAGTGTTTAAGAAATCAGGAATTTGTCCCATTGTAACAATATAATAATTCTTAATATATGGTGCAAAATTATACACAGAACGTATAGAATATTGTAATGTATTATAATCTCTGTATCTCCCATCTCCACCCCTTTGACCATTTTCTTCAAGAGCCTTACGGAAAACAGGATCACTTCCATTAACCCATAACCAAACAGCATCAATACCATTAGGACAAAAATCATTTGTAATAATGTCTATTTTTTTATATTTAACATTTCCAAATACTTCAAAGCCATTTTTTTTGTAAGCTTCGGTGTTCTTCTTCCATTCTTCGTCAAATTTTCTTTTTAAGTCTTCTTCTAGTTTAGTGGTATTATCCTTAATATTATTTTCTAGATAAGGGTTTGAGTTCATGTTTAATTTGGTTTGAAAACTTCCTTTTTTTGATATCAAAGTCAGATGAACAACAAATATTCCTATAAAAAAAAGTAATGAAGAGACAGCAACAATTAATGGTGTTTTTTCATTTTCCATTAAAACTTACTCTAATAATATTTTTGAGTTTTCAAAAAAGAGATTTAAGAATGATTATTCGTTTTATAAAACAAAAATCGTAAAAAAGAAATAAAAATAGAGTAGTTCAAAAAGTGGATAAAATAAAATTCATTTTATGAATCTTTTATGAAGTAATTGGAAAAATCTTGAAGGGTTTTTAATGAATAATTTTAAGTTCAAGAAAGAATAAAATGGCTGCTGCTAAGATTGCTGAGGCTGCTAAATTTAATTATCCTGACATTACTCTTAACTCTCATGACATGGGAGATTTTGAACAAATGATGGTTAATGGATATGCACCAGTTAATACATATATGTCTTTAAAAGATGTTCAACAAGTAATAAGTACAGGACATATGTCTAATGGTGCTATATTTCCTAAGCCCGTTGTTTTAACTCTAAATAAACAAGAAATAAAAAAAATAGAAAAAGCTAAAAAACTTGCATTGAGAGGTCCAGAAGGTACTTTACTTGGTTTGTTAACACCAAGTGAAGTTTTTGAATTACCACATGGAATTTCATATAAAAGAAGAAATGCTACTATGGGAATTACTGGTAAATTAGAATTTGTTGAACCACCACCTCATTATGACTATACTGAATTAAGAAAAATTAACAAACCAACAAACCCATCTGTTTTTCATGGTATTGCTTCTCCTTTACTTAAACCATCTATTGACCAACTAAAATCATTAGAAAAAGATGGTATCGCACCACATATTGACATTAATGTTCTCAATATTCCAGCACCTCACCCATTAGTTAAAACTACTCAAAAATATTTCAAAGACGTTACTGTTACTTCTCACCCACATGACTCTATTAGTTCAGAAGATGTTATTTTAAGAGGAATTATTGCTAAAAATAGAGGGTTTAGTCATTATCTTGTTCCACAATGTTCTCCAAAAGAAGTTTCAACTTCTTTAAAAACAATTGGTATAAAACCAATTGTTTCAGCTACCCCATCTTATTTTGATAAGATGTCATCATCTCAATTAATTAATTCTATTCGTGATGGAACTGCCCCAAATGAATTATTGTCTAAAGAAGATTTAGATACTTTTAGTGAAATTTATCCACCAACTGATAAACAAGGATTGGTCTGTTTCTTTACTGGTTTGAGTGGATCAGGAAAGAGTGTAGTTTCAAATGCTGTAATTGAACGATTAAAACAACACACAAACAGACCAGTTTATCTTCTAGATGGTGATATTGTAAGAACTAATTTATCTTCAGAACTTGGATTTAGCAAAGCACATCGTAATATCAATATTTTAAGAATTGGATTTGTTGCAAGTTTATTAGCTCGTTCTGGTGCTATTGTTGTTTGTGCCCCAATTGCACCATATCGTGAAATTAGAGATGAAGTTAGAAAGATGGTATCTCAATATGGTAACTTTGTTGAAATTCATAATGCCACTCCAATTTCAGTTTGTGAAGAAAGAGATAGAAAAGGCCTTTATGCAAAAGCACGTGCTGGTATTATTAAAGGATTTACAGGGATTGATGACCCATATGAAGCTCCATTAAATCCAGAGATTTATTTGAACACTGCTGGAAAATCTGTTGACCAATGTGCAAATATTGTTATTGAGTATCTTACAAAGAAACAATATATTAAATGAATTATTTTTGATCAATTTAAAAACAACTAATTTTTATTTTCAACAAATACATAAATTAATTTAATATAAATCCATATCTTCGAAATTGGTTATAAAGTCAGCAAATTGATAACTAAATATCATATACTTCTTTCTGAATGAAGTCTGTATTTTGTCCATTTCTTGTGATAATAACTGGTATGTTGAATATGCCTTATCACAACATGATCTTAGTCTTTGTAAATTTCTTTGTAATAATTGTATTCCTTCTGTATCATCATCCTCTCCACCAGGGAAGAAGTTTTTAATAATACTTAACACACTAAAGCTCTCTTCGTTAATGATGTTTTGTGTCATATATTCTCTCATTTCTTTAATTGCTTTTAAAGAACTGGTTCCATTTTTTTCACATTCACAAACATAAAATGAAAGTGATTCAATCATTCTTTCCACTACTTCAATCGAATATCTCACTGGTGTTAATACTTCATCATATTGTTCTACCACAATTGATCTTCTTAATCCACTTGGTAATGAGCTTTGAGTTTTATAAATACCTTTAACAGCAATAATATCCATCATTTTATCTGAATCTCCTTCAAAAATTTCATAAGTAAATTTATTAGCAGTAGTAATTTGAGGAACAGGAACAGTTTGAACTTCTTCATTTATTATTGGATAAACTTGTTGTGGTTCAATAATATCATACCCAATAGTTTCACACATTTTTGAATACATCTCTTTAAATTCTTGTTTGTTACACGGAGAAGCATAAACAAATTGGGATTCTCCAATCTGAACAAGATAAAATTTATAATCAATAGAACTACCATTGGCATAACCTAAGAAGAACTCTGCCATTTGTTGGTGTATTGTAGCTAATTCATCAAGCATATTATTATTTTCAAAAAACTCTTTTAACATTAAACATACCTCTACTCCAAACCAAGTCATTTTAGCTTTTCTAAATAATTCTATAGCATGATACGCATGTGCTAATAATAATTCTTTCGTAAATTCTAATGGTACTTCATTGATATCAGTTCGGTCAATCAAAAAATCAGAGCAAATACTTGCTAAGTGATTAACATTTAATATACCTATATCATTTCCTTTTGTAACTCTATAAATGTAATAAACAGCTTGAATCTCACAAATTCCTGCTTCTAAATAATATCCAAATTCAATTTCTTTTTCAATAATGTTATTTAACCATGATAAATGCAATAACGGACTTGATCTATATTTAACACATAACGCATAATACCTTTCTGTTAATTCATCTATTTGATATTTTCCTTTAAGATTAAGTAATCCTTGAAGTTCTAATGATACAGAAAATATTTCATTTCCAACAGAATGAATAGATCCAATTAAATTAGATGAAGAATTACAACTTGTAATATAAATTGGTGATCGTAACATTGCAGAGATATCAGTTAACCTAAATGATATACTTGTAAGATCTGATAATTCTGTTTTAGAATCACATTTACTAAGTCCTTTTTTTATTAATTTTTGATATAATGATTCTAAACTTTCTTCCATTCCAATGTAATGAACATATCTATTAATTCCAATTATTGATCCACAACTCATTTTACTTAAGAAATGATACGCCTCTTTTGCTTTATTAAATGCTTTAAATTCACTCCGTTGAGTTGTTAATAAACACTGTCTAGATAATGATATAAATTCATCATAATATTTGGCATATTCTTTTCTTTGAGCCTCACGTTGTTCTTCCAGTAAACACCTTTTTCTTACATCTCTTACAGTTTTAATAATTTTTTGAGGAGGTATAGTAGCAATAATTTTATTGATTTTTTCCATTAATTCTATTTGTTGTGGAGTCTTAAAGACAACTTTTTGTAATTCATGATACGCTTTTATTTGTTTTTCTTTATTTTGTTCAATAGCATTTAACATTCCAACAAATATACTAAGATAATCATTTGGTTCAGGTGGTTCAAAAGATAATAATATTTGAGCAGAATATGCCCACTCAAATACTCCATACAATTTCTCCATTAACATTTTATTTTCTTCATGATTTTTATCAGATTCATTAATTTTTGATGATGCTTCTTCTGAAATATATAATAGTTCAACTATCTTAGTTAACAAGTCCTGTGCTTTCTCATTATTTTTCATTACTTTAAGGTCTTCATTATTTGATTCAATGCAACGACTTAATTCAGGCATTATTTTATATATTAGTTGGTTATGTTCAAATGAGAATTGGTTATCAGGGAGAACATAACCACTAGAAAATTTTACAGAAACAGGTTTTACAATTGTTGATGTTCTTTTTAATATACGAGTATTATCTCCAGACATTTGTTTCTTTTTTGGAGTTATAGTAGAAATTGATCTTGTATCTCCTGTTTTTCTGGGAGTTAGTCGTGGGGTTTTTGGTTCATTCCTCAAGAATGAATATAAATTATTAAATTGTATTGACATCTCTCTTAAACTCTTTATTCTTACAGTTCTACTTTCATTAGTCATATCAGATAATGACTTCTTTTTGGAATGGAATTTTTGTATGTTTAATGCTTTGTACATTCGAAAAATATCCGAAAGTTCATCTGGAGTTACTGGGAATAATGGATTAGAATCCACTCCAAATGATGCTAGTTCATCAAAACTTTGTTGGTATTGATTTAAATATGACGCACCTTTTCTAACATTTTCAGGTGTTACTTCATTAATACTATTTACTAGATGCTTAAAAAAACTTGTTACAATTTCTTTACATTTAGTACATTGTTCTCTTAAAGCCCCAACTCGTTCTGTTGAATTTTTACAATTTCTTTTTATTGAGTTATGAAGATCCATATAACATTCAAATAATGATTTCATACGTTTTAATTGTTTCATAATCTCTTCTTGTTCAGAATAAAATTTAATGGTAATTGCCTCAATAGTATTAATCTGTTCTTCCTTTAATTTCATTGTTTTAAATAATAATAACACAATACTTAATTGTATTTCTGTTTCTCTGCCAATAACTGATCCTTCCATATGTTTGATTTCATTTAACAATTCTATTCTTTTTTCTAAAACATCATTAAAAAATACAACACAATCTTCTGCATGTCCTTCAAATATTGCAGTATCAATTGTTTGAACTTCTAGACACAATTGATTATTTTTAACCATCTCTGATGCTGAATTATTTCTTTGTTGTACTAACATATCAAACATTGCTTGTAACCTAACAAAAGGAACACTTTGAAGAAAATACACTAAATTTGGTAATCGTTGGAAATTACTTTCTCCATGAAACAAATAAGTAATCATTGCATCTCTTGTAGTTGATACATTTTGCTTAGAAACATAATTCATAAAACATAATAACCATATAATTTCTGCTGCTCTTGGTGCCACGCAATCATTAACTCCCAAAACAACTCGCATTAAAGCTTGGATTATTGGTGAAATTAAAGGTACAACTTCATCTCCACAAACTCGAATAAATTTCTCAAGACCAAGAAATGATAAATCAGAAACTAACGCATTATTATTTAGTGCAAGTGATAATTCTCCAAATATTTTTCCTGACATTTTACGAATATCTTCATTTTGGTCATGATACAAGAAACATAGTGTTGATGCCTTAGATACAATTGTGTTAATCATTCCATACAAATAAATATTTAATACCTTTTCATTATTGATTCCAGTCTTTTCAGTTATAAACGATTCTTCCATACCTCTTGGTGTTTTGATAGTACCTCCTTCTGTTTGTCTTCGTTGTTTATTTCTTGGTGTTTCTAAAGGTAATCCAAACATAAATTCAATAGCAGGTAATCTCCCATTTTTCTTTTCGTCTTCTGTCATTGACTGAAATAAACTATTTTGTTTAATCATTCGATTTAATGGTTGTGATATTTGTATAGCAGTTGAGGTCCTTAAACGAGCACTTGACTGTGACTCATTAATAACAAAATCAGGATGTTCTAGTTGAGTTATTTTCAGTCCAGGTTCATCCTTTTGTATTTTTTTCATTTCAAGTTTTGGTATTTTAAGTTGTTTTAGTTTACCGTTCTTATGTGATTTATTTTCATTAACACATTTGTTTGTATTAGACCCATTTGCAGGTGTTATTGTAATCTTTAATTCATCACTATATATTGGGCTTTCGTATTTTCGTGGTTCTAAAATACTGTTATTAGTTATCAGTGGTGATGAACTATCACTGATGCATTGTGATTTCATCAATCCAGTATTCACATCTCCAGTCTTCATTTTTGTTGTTCCATCTTCATGTGGCCGAGAAAAACTACCTTTCCTTCTTCTAATAACTTTAGACTTGTATGTTAATTCAGGGTTTTGGTTTGAACTCAATGCTCTAGCTGTTTTAGCCAATTCTGACGTTGGGGTATCTTCACTACATTCTAACATAATTTCGTTACTACTTTTTCTTGAAGAGAGTGCTTTTCCTAATGATTCATTATTTTCATTTAATACCAAACAAGGGCTTCTGTGTTGAGATTCTGATGATGGTGATAACAATTGTTTATAGCAAGGTAGAGTATTTTCTTGAGCACTTTCAATTAATATATCAGCGATATCTAAATCAGCTGATTTAAACAAAACATTACTTTTTTGACTTGACAACCTTCTTATATTAGCTTTTGGTGGTGGAACAGATTCATCAAGTTGTAATTTAGGTGCACTTTCAAAACGTTGTAATAATGGTTTAGTACCATTATTTGGTAACGTCCTTCTTTTTGTTGAACTAGAACCTTCTTGAATTATTGTCTCTTGTTTTATTTGTACATTTCGATTGATTGATTGTGGACATACATCATCCATTGGTCCATATATTTCTTTAGCAGCTTCAAATCCAATATTTTTTGGTCGGTCAACAACAGTTGAACTTCTGATATTTAGTCTAGGTAATGAAGTACTTTTTCTATTAATTCGAGATCCACCAAAATATTCAGGGTGGTGGTTGTCTAATGATAAGTCTTTGATATGAGATTCTTTTTCTTCTTTGACGGTAGTTGGACTAATCTCATGAGTAGAGTGACTTGGCTCAGCTTTTAACAACACCTTATTAGTTCCTTTCTTTTCTTGTTCTTTTAAATTATCAACAATATTCTGTTGTTTTTCTTCAATTTCTTCTTCTTGACTTTTCTTGTCACCGAAAGAAAATAAAGAAAATTTTCTTTTTCTCTTTTTCTTAGGTGCATCGTCATGTTTTTCTTGTGTTGTTAAAGAGATTTCTTTTGTTTGCAATTGAGGTTGTGTTGAATTTTGAGAAGAGAGTTGTTTTTGAATGGGACTAATAATAGGCAATGAACCACTAGGAAGAACTGGTGTTGATGTTTCTTTTGTTGTATTATGTCTTTTCTTTCTTTTTTTATCAGATTCTAAATTTTCGTCTTTAGATGTCACAGTCATTCCTCTAGGTTTTTGAATGAAAATAGCACAACTTGTATTAAAAGTATAAAGAGATCGAATAGTAAGTAATTCACGTTCAAAAAATTTCATTAACTGAATAACCAACTTGTTTCTTATAAAATCAAATAATCCTTGTGTTCCTTGCATATGATGATCCATTGGTTTAAACAAATTTTGACCTATGTAAAATAGTTGTAATAAACGATTTACAGTAAATGGTGTGATAGTTCTAATATAAGTTTGTCTAAATTCATCTGATACTTCATTTATAATATAGAAAAAACAGAGAAATAATGCTCTGAGAGCAAATAACTGATTTGGGTTTGAAGTTCCATTTGTGTTAAAAAATACTTCATATGACCATTCTTTAATAATATCAAACTCATCTATCATTAATGATATAAGTGATGAAAATTCTTCTGCTGCAACACTTCGATATTCTTGATAGGCAACACCAATATCAAATTTTTGAATAAGTTCTAATAAACATAATGATGCCATTATTCTAATATCATTTTTATGATAAAATATTAAATGGGTTATACTATAAATGAAGAAAGTAGCAAGAAATTTGCTTTGACAAAACGTATCATTTAATGTAGTAATATCAGTGTTATGAATAGATGGACAATTAATTTCTATCATTAATGGATAATCTCGTATTACACATAAAAAATCTAGTCTCATGATTTCATATACCGTAGAAAATGATAGATCCATTTGTTTATCTAATTTAATAGCATTTCGTTCACAAAGTAAATTATAATAGTATGAAATTGTTTGACATACAAAATCTTTATTCATTACACTCAAAAGATCTCTGAATAATTCAGCAACATTTAAATTTAATTCAAATACTCCTCTAATATCTCTTTTTGATATATGAATGTCTATTCTAAATACAATTAATCCTAATAATCTATGAAGTAATTTTTCTATAGTCTCTATTTCTTTAATTTCTTTATCTGCAACTACACATGATTTAATAAAACATTGAAAGAAAAAGAATGTTAATTTAAATTTGTTGTATTCTGATTCTTCAAAGTTATTAAAACTATTAATAATATCTAAGAGTATTAACTTAGGTAATAATTTAAAATTAGAATTAAGTTCTTTTGGAGAGAAATGATCATTTACATAATCCACTAAAATAACAGGTCTAATTTCATCTTCAGTAAAGAATTGTTGAAGAATTGGATTAAAGTTATACAATTCAACAAACTCAATCATTTCAAACATTCTATCTAAAATAGTATTAAGATATGGTGCTATAACTTTAGCGTCCATATTTTTTACAGTTTTAATTGCTTCAATTATTGTTTCTTTATTGTCTGA